GCGCAGAGCTCCAGCTCCAGCTCCCGGCTACCTCGCACCCAACTCTGCCTGCCTGACTGGGCATGTGGTGTTAGGCACATGTCCCCATAGCTTCCCTGCACTACGTGCTGCCCAGAGCAGTGCAGCTAGAGGCAGAGGGAGGCAAGCAGTACCTGAGCAACTGCAGGACAGCCCTGATGGAAAACTGCGCACATTAGCTGAGAAGGATGCAGGCAGAAGCGTGGCATGGGCTGCCCCAGTCAGAAGCAGGCAGGGCTCAGCTCCATATGGAGCACTGCAGAAGCAGCCATGGGCTGGATGGGGTGTGGGGGGAGAGGGAGCAAACTGCACCACCACCACACCACTTGGGGAGTTCTGCTGCAAGCGCCCCCTGCCCCTACCCCCAACTGGCTCCCGGGATCTAGTGTTTAGACAATCCCCTCACACCACCCTACACACCCACATCCAGATATAATATACAGAAGTAAGACTTTATTTTGAGGTATTATGAAATTGCCTCTGTAGAGACTACTCAAAAAAACAAATCAAAATTATTTTTTGAAATAAAATTAAAATAAGTTAAATAGCATGTTTGATTTTTAGTATATGATTTGGTTTTTTTTTATCTATAATTTATTAAAATGCATCTTCTGAAAGATTGTGTATGTGCAGCATTCAACAACTCACCAAATCTCGTTAAATGGCCCACCAGCTGAAAGAATTGCCTGCCCCTAGGTTAGATATTTGTAGGCACTTGAATATGGATTTGGATGCAGGGCCAAGTCTCTCCCAGCCTCTTCAAGCAGAAGGGCATAAAATGGTATCATTTCACTCTCAAATTCCTATACTTTGCCCACATCCTGGAATCAGGGGAGTTCTGGTCACCCTCTCTCAAAAAAGGGCAAACCAGGAGGAGAAGGTACAGAGAACAGCAAAAAAGATTATCAACAGACTGAAACGACTTCCATATGAAGAGAGACTTAAAAGGGTTAGTGGTCTCAGCTTGGAAGAGAGATGACTAAAGGGAACACATAACAGATCTATAAAAGCATGGCTTGTGTGGAAAAAGGTGAATAAGAAACAGTTATTTACTATGTCTCACACTACAAGTACTAAGAGAGTCTTGAGGAAATTATAAGGCAGCAGGTTTAAAGTAAACAAAAGGAAGCAAAGTTTTCTTTGTTCACATATAACATCTAACGGAACTCAGCCAAAAAGATGTGGAAAGGAAACCAAACAGGTTCAAAAAGGAATTAGACAAACACATGGAAGTACACGACGAGCTATTAAATACAAGTCAGAGATGAACCTATCAATATGCCAGTTCTTCTGAGAAGACATATAGCAAAGACTCTGCCCAACTTTCCAAGAAACTATCCATCATTTCCAAAACAAGCTGACACATGAGGAAACTACACTTTAATGGCTTTTTTCAGATAAGAGGTCACTCAGCAGCGTATAACAATGACTGATAATGAATAAATACACTTCTGCGTACAAATTTTACTTCTGCTATGTTAACATTGTAGTTAGGTAATTCCTGGACAGGCTGTACAATGAAAGGTAGAAAAGTGCTCTTCTTAGGGCAAGAGTTGACTTTTTTCCCCTAAATTCTGGCTGTGTTCTAAACTAAGAAAAGTCCCAACATGCTGCTTGGCATGACCTGAGCAAGGCTTATCTATGGAAGCTGTTTCGAGATCTCGGTAAAAAAAAAAAAATCACAGGTTCAGATGGTGGATGATATGCTCCTTCCAAGGCCCATTCCCTTGGAGAGAATTACCATTTCCTTTCCATTACCTACAGCTATCATCTAGTACAGATCACCTGGTCAGAGCGATGAGTAAAAATTTGATTCTCTGCATTCACAAGATGAGGATGTGGAAGACAGGCAATGCAACCCTGCCCTTAAGATGACAGAGTGAGATGTGGAAAAGATAACAGGAATTACTGGGTAAGACCCTTGTGAACTCTGATTCACTGCATGAGTCTGTGCAGGACAGCAAGATTGCCCAATAGAGCTCATTAAGAATTGGGTTTTTGCTTGACACTCCATTTGTTTTCTTTCAATTTATGTTAACATTCTTCAGCAATGAACATGACTTGCCTTCCACCCAGACTTAGGATTTACTTCCCTGGTGCCATATGCTCACTCGTCCTGAAACCATGCATCACTGGGTGTGGTGCGGTGCACTGCAGGTCAGTTCTTCCAATTCAAAACTCTGATCAGCATTTTTCAGAAATATAGGACAGAATTCTCTTTACCCTTAGAGCCAATACTGTCATGATTCTATAAGCCACCCTGAGCAATTTTGTCATGTTAGTATCTCCCAGTTGGAAATACTGAGTTCCTGACTATTACGAAGGTACCTATATTTAGGGCCTTGTTACACGGTAATTTTGGGTGGCTCCTGTGGCTCTTACCACTTGTATTGTCTTCATATTAACACCCGACACTGGATTTAAGCACTCCTTATATGGCTTAAAATTGGACCACTCGAGGGCGGGATAATCCGACCTGTACTACCCAGCTCGTGTTACGCTAAGGTGGAGCCACTCTAGGCTACACTGTAGTGTAAACACTACCGTGCTCCACCCTCGCCCCTGCTGGCCTGGATTCAGCCCACTGTCCCTCCCCACTCTGTCCAGCACCCCAGATCTCCACTCACTGCACCCTCCTGCACCTACTTGTAGCTGCCCACACTGTCTGTCCCAGGGAGCAGGCAGAGAAGGGTTAACCTGTCTGCCTGCTCCTGCTGCTCTCTGGGTGGGCTCAGCTTTGAGAAGAGCAGCAGCCTGGCAGCGGTTGCTGGACAAGCAGGTTAATCCTACCTGCCTACTCCCCTGTGATAGACAGATGAGCAGCAACAAACAGGTGGAGAGGCAGAAGGGAACCCTGAGAAACCCGGGGGCCAGAGGGAAAGCCCAGGATGGGGTGTGTGGGAAGAGATTCTTCTTTTTCATCCTCTAAGCCCTGGCTGGCCTGAACATATGACTGCTCCAAACTTAAGCTAACACTAACACCAGTCAACATTTGTGTGGTTCACAGTGTGTAACAAGGCCTTTACTTTCCACCAGTAACACCGGGGGTGGGAGGGAGAGGAGGAAATCTCACTCAAAGGCAAATGCAGCCCAGGGGCACTACAGGGAAATCAGAAAGATGGAGTCAGACCAGGGTTCAGAAAAGAGAAATGAAGTTTAGAATTTTCTTCAGAAAAGTTCTTGTAGCAAGAAGTTCCAGTTGAGTTTCCCATGCTTGTAGAGGGCAGATCAGACCAGGGGCAGCTCCACAGGGTAGGCCTTTATCTCACTACAAGAGACTGACAAACTCTGGTTCTGTCCCTAAGACACAAACAAGCCAAAATCATCTATCATAATCACTCTTCAGCTGTTACCACAATGCATAATAAGGAACAAGTAATAGCAAAAGTTCTCAATCTGACAATATCCTTTTAATCTTGCTTCTGAAAAATCAAGTTTCCTGCATCTCCCAATTTCTAGCTTCCAAAGAACAGAGGATTAAAACATACACTATGCTCCAGGTTCAGTGGAGTTACTTCAGTGAATGTATTACAGCAGTGGTGCTCCAACTATCTGGTCCCATGAGCTTGATGAGTGGCACTGGGCCAGTCTACAGGCTGGATCCACCACTTCGGAGTCAGCCCATGGGCTGGTCAAGCATCGAGTTGTTCCACAAGTGTGATTGGGTATATTGACCCGACCCAACGCACCAGCCTGACCCTGCAAAATGGCCTTACCCTGTGCACCAGCAGGACCTCATACCAGATGCAGCTGCATGCCAGCCCAACCCTGCAGGCAGCTTGACCTCAATGCGCCAGATGTGGCCACAGAGCAACTCCACACACTGACACAATCTTCACACAGACTAACATTTTTAATATTGACCCAACTACTAATCTGTGTATAAAACCATAACCTTTATGTACCAGGCAAACCGAAAACATGTATGTCAGCAAAAATATATGAAATAGCATTTCTTAAAAAGGAAGAGGAAAAAAACCCACTTACTTCCCAATGTTTTCAGGTAGTGCCTGCAGAGAGATGTCGTTTACAGAAAGACACGTTAGATTCTGTAATTCAGGAAAGCTTTCAGGCAATCTGTGGAGATATTAATTCAAATACATCAAAGACTTCTAGTATAGCAACTATTCTTATTAACTCAGTGAGGTTTTCTATTCTTGTGAAAAAGAGAATGGAGGTGACCATTTTATTTAAAGAGATATATAAATAAAACCAAGGAATACTAAAAGAAGACTAGCACAGGAAATAAAAAAGAAATACCAGAAGTAAGCTAGATAGGGTTAATTTTCTTCTATGTATCAAGGTGAAGAATACATGAATAAACACATGTGAACAAATAAAGGGAGTGAGTATATTTGCTCATATAAATTTTAAAAAAAAAGAAACACAAAAGATTTAATAGTTTTCTAGATATAACAGCAGATATAGTTAGGGAAGGTGTAAAGGAGATTGGAGAACCATATGCTCATGTGAAGTAAAGTCTTTTGTTGTTGTTGTTGTTTATAGCTATTTGTTAAGGACACTTTGAGCATAAATTCTCAACTTGTTGGAACTGGAATAAGCCTTCTACGGTCTCCTATACTGCTAAATCCAAGGGGGTCCTGCCTACATGGGAAGGTCACAGTATAGAAAAAGGGTGCCCTCATGTGGAAGATTAACAAAACCTCCAAAATTATAATCATGTTTTCTCTCCCATTTTATAAATGCAAAAAAGCCAGTATAAGTGAAAAATATTTAAGCAGATATTGATTAAAAATACTCTAGTAGCTTCTATAAAAATAACCCAGATAGATTATTTCATGATATTTACCACATACACACTAAAATTCTTTAAAGAAGTTGCTCACAAGTTGTTCAGCTCAGTCATGTTATTTTAATGTCCAGTTTGTGTTGACTATTTTTTCATTATTTTAAAAACAAACCTGTTACATTTGGTAGCATATAGTTCCTTGCTTAAAAAGAGGAACTGGTTAACACATGACACTCTACCATGACTTTCATAGTTTCTCAAAAACTATCTAGTACACACTCATCTATAACTACACACCTATTAATGGAAATTTTCCTTCCCATTTAAGTGATTACCTGTTCTACTACGGCAAAAAGATTTAGGCCTTCATTCTCCATCTTGCATTACACCAATAACTCTACTGAATTCAGGGATACTCCTGTTAAGGCTGTGATCACAAAATTCAGCATGAAATGCAGCACAGTGCAAGACACTATATAGATCTACTCACTGAAAAAAAAATCCAGCTTTTGATGCATACCCTGGAACTGCTTAAGTCTTGGCCAGAAACAGAAGTCACCAAATGAGGTGGATCAGCTATACCACAATATATCTTGGCATAGCAGATCCACTTCACTGGGCAAAGCACGTCGCTCACTGTCCCATTCATTCACACTGCAGGACAACAGGGACTGTGTTCTCCTGGGGCTTGAGGAGCTCAATCTTGTGCACCCCAGGAATTCCTATACAGGATTGTGCCCCTCAAGCCCCTGGTGTGTGAGCCGATCTTCCCCAATTAAGAGACACATCCCCAGGATTTTCTGGGCACATCTTCTTTAGCAGGGAAAGCCCAGAGTTCCCTACTTACAGAGATGCATAACCCAGGATTTCTTAGGTGTGTTAAGCCAAGCGTTCTCCGCTTAAGCAGGGAACCCTGGGCTTTCCCTCCTTATATATACACATTGGAAAACCCAGGGATGCGTCTCTGTAAGCAGAGAAAGCCAGCCAGATAGGATCCCTTCAGCCCCTGGAGCATCTATCTGCATGGGAAGTCCCAGGGTGTGAAGGATCAGGCCCCTCAAGCCTCTGCAGTACCTATACAAGATGGCAGGTCCTAGCTAGCTGCACTCTCCTGCCACAAAGTAAAGATGTGCTCCACCAAAAAAGCAGCACAACCTATATTACCAGCAGTCTAGGAACACAGCTGACAACCAGGTCAAAGTGGAAGCACGACTTCTAGTTGTCACCATGATCATGAACATATGGCTGCCAGAAGCAGCCACATTTTTTTGCCTGCTCCACTCCCAAAGGCAACGCCTGAGGCAACTGCCCTTATCAACACCCCCCCCCCGACACCAAGTTACACCGATATCTATTGGGGTTGTTGGTTGTAGCCATGTTGGTCTAAGGTCATAGGAAGGCAAGGTTCTTTGGGTAAATGTGGTATCTTTTATTAGACCAATCACCTGTGTTGCAATCATAAAGTTTTATGGCAGCACAAAGGTGAGGAAAGCTACCTAAGTTTCTACACTGACAGCAAGGCAAATTCAGGTTATCTAAGCACTCACTGCTTCATAGCTCAGCAGCATTCAATCCCATTGGGTACCTTTGCAAAGGAGAGTCTCACTCGTTAGGTGATCATATTCACTCTTAGTTCTTGAATGTTACTATATCACTAAGAAATCTTGCATGTCACACTCTGATTTTTATATAATGATACGCTGCATTTAATGCGCCTCAAATAATGGAGATCATAACAAAGATTCAACGCGTCACTGACTCTGAAGCTTATATTTGTTCTTCAGGGCATGCTGAAGAACTCTCTTCATAGGCTTTAACACATGACTGGAAACTTAAAATAATAAACTATCATTTGAAAACATGATGGTTTTTAATTGAAGGTCTGAGTTAAGATGCAGGGTTACTTATGCTATCGAATTTACATTTTTCTCAAAGTTTGTCAGAAAGCCCAGCCTGGAATAAGCCTATTTTTCATGTACATAAAACTTACTCACTTTGAAAACTGAAAGTTCATCAAAAAGTTTGACAGCAAAGGCAACTCACTGGAGGGGTGACAGACACCGAATGAGACGTACGGCATTTCATATCTCCCTATGTTCCCAGCTTTAACATAAAGACAATCCCTTTCTCTGTTGTACAGACTGGCAACTAAGGCACAGTGATGTTGCCATTTTCTATACCTTTGTAATTTATTTTTGAGCTTAAGAAACAGAGGGATTCAACCCAGAAAGGATTCACCCATTATAACCACTATTATATCAACAGAAAAGACAATAGAAAACCAACCCTTTGCTAGAATAATATGAACACATACAAAACCAACCTGAAGGAATGTAATAAGCTAGCACACGCTTGTGGTGTTCATGTTCTAATGCTGCATTAACTGCTTGTATAGTTAACCCAATGTTATTCGGCTGTGAAAGAGGATGTTATTGCCTAATCCAGTGGTGCTCAACCTTTTAGCCCAGGGGGCTGGATGGGTAATGCCCCTGTCCATGCATGAGCCAATCTCCCTAGTGGTCCCAATCCCAGGCCCAGAGCAGGTACATCAGGGCCCCAATCAGCTGGGCAGAGGGGAGTGCGGAGCAGCCTGGCCCCAACCTGACTGTGACAGGGGAAGGGGACTTCATGCAGCCCCGATCTGGTCCTGCTTGGAAGGGGGAGAGGGGATGTGGCCCAGCCCCAACCTGGCCCCATGAAAGGGGGTAGTGTGGCCCTAACTCAGCCCCATAAATGGCAGGGTGCTAGACGTAGCCCCAACCTGGTCCCACAGAAGGGAGAGGGCTTGGCCTGGCTCTGACCCACTGTGAGGCTTGGAGTTTGGGAATTTGGCAGTGGGGGAGGGTAGCCACCACTCCCCCACTAACAAATTTCCCAAACTTTGGGGAGCCCTGGAGGTTGGATACCATGGTTCCACAGGACAAATGTGACCTGTGGGCCACAGGTTGAGCACCCTTGCGTTAGCTCATGTTACAATCCAACTATGTTGCATTAAAGCCTCTGGAAAGCAAACATCCATGATGCACTTAAGTTATCTTACAGTGATCTCTACATCACAGGTGTCAAACTCATCTGGCCCACAAACTAGATGAACAGCACAGGGTGCCCCCCCCACCCACCACTTCTCCTCCCTGCATGTCAGATCCAGCACCCATGTTGCCCATTCCAGCTGATCCTCATATAGTGTCTGGTCCAGCCAGACTGGGGTGGATGCCACATACGGCATGGATCCTGAACCAACTGGAGTGGTTACTATGGGCAGTGCAGTCCTAGACACCTAGAGCAGCACTAGGTCCAGCATTCAATGGACTCACAGAATCTTCCCCCTCATATCTTTGATGTCCCTGGTGTACATGGATGCAAGAGCAGCATATTTAAAAGGGGTTTATCATTTCAGTTCTGGCCTTCCCTGTTTACAAACCTCTAGAGCAGTGATTCTCAACTAAGGTGATGCAAGATCCTTCGAAGGATGTTGTGCAGTATTAGCACTGGTAAGCATGCAAGCACATACACATACTTCACAAAATAATACTCAATAGAGATTTCAAAAACATTCTGACCTGCTGTGGTCCTTCCAAGTTCTTTGCAACAAAAGAATTGCTCTATTATTTTTCCTCGGTCAAAAAAGCAATTGATAGCTAAGAGCAGCTATGGTTAGTAATGGGTATTGAAGACTTTTTGTCTCATTTATTGTTATATATATAGTCGTCCAAAGAAAAAATAAAAATTGCAATTCCTTCACCATCTGGTTCTCTCTGTAAAACACATCAATTTTCTAGCGATAGACACCTTCCCTCTTGTGCTACTGCTTACTTTTGCAATGCTTACATCACTGTTAAAAATCAAACACCCATTAAACTGAAGCAGAGCAACAACAGCAAAGTGGAGTTCTTTCAAACTAGCTAAAACAGGGGCCCCGTCAAACATATGGCCCATTGGCAGGACCCAGCCCAGGAAGCCATATGATCTGGCCCCTGGATTGATGGACCAGCCACAGACCTGGCCCCAGTGCCGCAAGCTACATGCAGTACATGGGCTGGATTCAGCACCACACGTGCGGCAGACAGCCTGTATCCCAGCCTCCTATGCCGCATGCAGCACCAGGTCCAGTCCAAGCACTGCAGGCAATACACACCTTGTGCTCGCACCAGAGGCAGTGTGCACACCTGGGCCAGCTAGTCAAGCACACGGCATGTGGGGCTGGCCCAGCCATGCACACTACCTATGGCATAGGAGGTTGGGATAGGGCACATATTCCACCTGGTGCCCCTCTAAACTCAGAGCCAGTGCTCAGGGGTGGTTAGCAGGCTGTTGCATGAAGTGCAGGCTCCGTGCCACACAAGTGGCCAGGCCAGCCTCACAAGCTGTATGTTGGACTGGCTAGCACTGGAGCCTGCTGTGCATGTGGCCTCCAGGGCCAGCACAGAGCACATGTTGCCTATGGCATGCCTGCAGGCCCCAAAGCTGCATGCAGCACTGGGGTCCAAGGTGTGGGCTGTATGTGACAGCCTGGACTGACCCCCTGTGCTGCCTATAGTGCAAGTTTGACATTCTTGGACTAAAATGACCAATATCCAAAGGACACTTTAAGAGAAATGAACATTATTCTGTGTTTGGTCCTATGCAGAACATGGAAGGAACAGGGCAGACTCTTTCACAGGCCAGGACAGGAAGGAGTAGCTTGATACTGGCAAAGCCATTGCTTTGTGTTGGATTGGCTTTTTGTTGTAACAAGCACAAGGAATGTAGATATTAGTGAAGCAGCAGCAGCAGCAAATGGCACTGCTGCCACCACTACCAGTGTAGCTTGGCTACATGGTAGTGCATAAAGGCATGTTGGATTAGCCCTAACTCAGATGTCAGAGGCTTGTCCCAATGCCATGTCATGACAGCATGCAAGAAGAGCCAATATTTGCATTGGATGAGCTAATCCCAGTTAAAAACAGTGAAACATTTAGAGTTTGCATAAATGCATTGACACTGGTTTCAGACCAGTTGGTTTAGATTGCTAAAATCAACACACAGACAAACCCTGTATATGGAAAGAAATAGGTGAGAGTAGGATATACAATAGCCTTGCTGATTTATGTTGCTGGCTTCTAAGTATATTCATTCTTAAGAACTGACCAAGTTCATTAGTTCCAGGTAGCCTATACCTTTGAGATACCGAAAAGTGGAACATACACATTTAAATTTGAACCCTGAGCACAGCCCTGTAAAATAAACTGATCATATCTGCAAAGAACTCTTGCAAAGAACTTCATAATTTTTTGCTTCAATTAAGAATTGAAGATAAATGAGGTAGATTTAGTATGAAAGCATTGAGCAGAAGGCAGAAGTTACCTGGTCAGTGGATTTCCACTGAAGTCTGCTACCTGTAGTGCTTTACAAAATGAGATGCTTTCTGGAATTTCAGGAATATCTGTAGAAAGAAAAAGCAATAGTGTTAATGACTATACTATAGAAGACAGGTCTGAAATCACTGAAGTAGTCTGAAACTGGTCACCTTAATCAAAGAATATCTTGAATATTCTGTGACATTTCCCAATAAAAGGCTATTTTTAGAGTCACTAGTATTTTCAGGTTGAATGTATGGCATTAATATTTAGAAAGGCAGCTCTAAACTGACTCCAGTTCAGCCAGTTTAGTAACTGCTTCTCTCCCATGCTCCTCAAAGCAGATGGAATACTCTTTTGTCGTGGGACAAAAGCCTGTCAGTTGGCACATTTTTCTTCAGGGTCTGTTCAGCAGAAGCCAAAATTCAGCTACCTTTAGGCAAGTTCCAGATGAAGAAGTTTAACTGGTCTTTTGGTAATCTGGAACAAAAAGCTAACAAAATGCATGCACACGTGGGAACATCATCGTATCTCCTAACATGTAAAAATATGGTAGTATTGAGTTACTCAGCGATTCAAACAGTAAAGTAAAAAGTAAAATACTTTCAAGTCTGATTTAAATCTTGATATTCAGATAGACAAACCCCAAAATAGATTTAGAAATACTGCTCACTTTATGCACATTTCCAGTTAAATGAAATACTCTCAAAACAAAGCTCCCCAAGGTTTCATGCTTCCGTGCTATTTTGATACACAACCAACACTGTGAGCCTTGGGTACTTGCAATAACCTCCAGCAAAAATATGAGAACATCAGATGGACAAACTTCTAAAGGATTAATTAGACTTCAGAGCTTTTGATTTTTAAAAGGAACACAATTTATATTCAATACTATATAGATATACACAGGAGAACGGCATGTCCAAATTGTAACAGCAATTAAGACCTCATATATACGCTTTCCCCTTTCAAGTGTACATTTCTTTTTGAAAAAGAACTTCCCCTTTATTTATACTGATTGAGAGAAATTATATGGGAACCGCAGTTTCAGAACGTTTACTGGCTGCCCATGTACCTCAATCTTTCATTCTGCCTAATAAATGCACCTCAGGAGTAGCTGTCATTGCTACATCCAAACAGGACTAGATTCAGTCCATTTAAATCAGATGCCAAACCTTCAAGAAGGGTAATGAAATGTAAAGATTTGGACAAAAAAAGTCCACAACAGCAGTAAGATAATTAGTTATGTCTGTTGGTTTATATTTACCATGTTTTAGAAGTGCTTACGAACAGCAGCTGATACCTACTCAATGGACCTGAATCAATAGTGTTTCATAGTGTGAATGTAGCTCAGAGGAACAGTAGCCTGTATCTGATTATAAAAGCAATAGGCATACACAGCTTCTGTAGTCCTATTAGTTCAATAAACCAAGGGCAGACAGAGCTTCTGTCTGCCTAGCACTCATTTGCCTATCAAGTTAAAATAGGTTTTGTAACAGGTACAGATATTCCAAATATTTCTTCAGTCTGGGTAAAAAGAATGGTTTATTATCCCAGAATACCTCTACTTCACAATCTAGCCAGGATGAAACCTGTTATTCATGTGTCTCTTTTAGGTAGAATTAGTGTTTCTGAATAGCAGCATTCATGGGAGCATACACTAGGTGATGGCGGTGGGAAGTCCACATGACCCGAGGGATTCAGTCTCCACTTGTTGGAATTCAGTCTCTGCTTGTTGGGATTCAGTGTCCGCTTGTCACTCAGGTTCACAGCCATGGGGTGCTTCTGGATCCTCTGCTGTACCTAGATCTCCAATTGGTGGTGGTGGCTAGAAGTACTTTTCACCAGCTTTGTCTGGTGACAAGGTTGCAACCCTTTTTTTCAGATTTGGATATGGCTACCAACATCCAGGACTCTGTAACCTTGAGGCTAGTCTACTTCAGTGTACTCTGTGTGGGAATGGCCTCTATGATTAGCTGTCAGTTGCACCTGATGCGGAACGTGGTAGTCTGCATTGATAGGGGCAGGGCATTAAGAGCATATAACTCCAGTACTCTGCACTAGCTCCCAATAGCTTTCCAGGTATAATTCAAGGTACTTTCAAGGTACTGGTTTTGATGTATAAAGCCCTAAATACCTACAAGGCTACCATCTCCTTTATGCCATCGTGATCACTAAGGTCAGCCAAGAGCAACCATCTTCAAGAGTCTGCACTGCCTTCCAAAAGTTTTCCATGCAAAATGCAAGGTGCTGGTTTTGACCTAAAGCCCGCAAAACAGCCTGGGTTCTATATCTAAGGAACTACCTTCTACTTTATGCCCCATCATAATATTTCTGTGTTTCCCATGGAAAAACAGAGAAAACCATGGATTTCCTATTTTTATCAGAAGAAAATTTAGAAGACAAACACGCAGATTTCCCCCTTTTGCAAAGAGCTCTACAGGCTGGCTGAGTTCCAGCCTACAAGAGCTGTTTGCAAAAGGGGTAGGGAAACCCCCAACCTTTCCCAGAGGGGAAGGGAGAGGGGGAAGGATGGGGCCCCACACTTGCACTTACTGGAGGCTGCTTCAGGCTCACTGTTCTTGTTGGAGGTAAGTGGGGTTTGGGTGTTGTGGGGCAAAGCTAGGGGCTGAGGGAGCAGGGAAGTTTGCAGGCAGCCGGGCACTCTGGCCAGGAGGGGGTTTGCAGCCTTCCTGCTCCTGGCCGGAGTGCTCGGCCAGCTGCAAACCCCCGCCCCTCCCAGACAACCAGGAAGTGCCCAAGCTGGCTTGGGGCTCAGGAGCGGGGAAGTGGCCAGGTAGAGGGTAGGGTTTGCAGCCTCCCCTGCTCCCTCCACCCCCAGCCAGCTTGGGCACTCCCTCTGGCCGGGACCGGTGGTTGCAGCTGGCTGAGCACTCCAGCTGGGAGCCGGGAGGCTGCAAACCCCCTCCCGGCCAGAGTGCCTGGCCAGCTGAAAACCTCCCCACTCCCTGAGCCCCCAGCCAGCTTGGGCACTCTCTGGCTGGGGAACGGGGTTTGCAGCCAGCCAGACACTCCGGCATGGATACTGCAACCCCCCCCATCCCCCAGCTGGAGTGCCTGGCCAGCTGCAAACCCTGGTTTGCAAACACTGTGCTCCTCGCTCTGCTGCCCTCCCCCAGAGGCTCCAGAGCACAGGATGTACAACTGGCATGGGAGGACACAATGGTGCCATGCACGAAAGCTGCCTGCCATACTTCCTGTGTGTGCACAGGGGCTGTGCACGCTTGTGCCCCTCACTGCAACCCCTGCCTGCAGAGGAAGCGTGGCCAGGGCAGCATGAACCTCAGTGGCAGGCAGCTTTTGGGCACAGCCCCCATGTGCTGCTGCACCGGGTTGCACAGGTTACACACAAGCCCTCAACACACACCTCCACTTCCCTACCCACCACACAGATCTGTGGGGCGCAGGTCCTGCCGGCCCCCCCAGAGTGCATGCTGCCACTGCCCGAGCCTGCTGCAGGCAGCAGCAGGGGGGAGCCAGCTCATGCTCCTTCTGTAGCAGCCGCTGCCTTCCACTGGAGCAGGGAGCTGTGGACCTGGGTCCCTGCTCCCATAGCCCTGGCAGCTGGGGCCCCTTCAATAGGGCCTGGGGACAGGAGCTACGCAGAAAGTGAGGGACACCAGCAGGGCTGTGGGGGGCATTTAATTTTAACCTGGAACCTGAGATTTACAATGCATTAGCTTTCTTCTCTGGGATAAAAAGAAGCCACTGGAAGTAAAATCTTTCCCTGAATTCTGGCAACAGTTCTTCTATAACTTGTAGGTGACAAAACAATAAAAGTGCATGCACCCATAAAAGACTATACCTGGTTAAATGCAGTAAGATGGTTTCCAAAGACTGGTTTTGGGGTCCCATGAAATTGCCAGTGCATTATAGGACCAGGATACACTGCCAACAATGAAGATACCCCATGACCATTGTTTTACCTGAGGTTGTTTCTTAGGATGAAGAGTTAGACTGCCTGGTGTGATCAGACAAGAGTCCTTCAACAGATCTAGGTGTAATGGCAATATGGGCTACAGCGTAAGCTCAGCTGTAGATGCCTAAGAGCAAGGTGCCTCAGCCTCATAAAAAGAGTAATGAGAACTATCTGCATGTCTACTATAGTTGCATGCCTTCAAAAAGCTTTAGTCACAGCTGGTATCTAATGCTTGAAACCATGACACTATACATAGCTATGCAGCACCATGGCTTGGCTATGGCATCAGAACCATCACAACAAACCGTGCCAACTTTTTTTGTTACCAATTGGCTATACCCCATTCTTAGGTGAGAGTTTTGATAGAAAGCATGTTATTTTGCATTCCAGAGTCACATTCAGTCAGAAGGTTTGGTTATTTGTCACTTGTACTTAGAGAAGCAAAAGAGTATGGTTTCCTCTTGAACAGGTCAAGCTTCTTTGGGTCCTTTGTATTAGCAGTGCTTGTTTGACATGGTTTAGTGTAAACTGCTGAAATGGTAAAGGAGTCCAGGTTGAGAAGGCTATGGAAGTTGTTGAATACTACATCTAGAAGTATTCAACAATAAGGTGCTCCTCAGCACCAGAGGAGGTCTTCAAGTACTACTCCAATAGTGAACAAAAATCACCAGCATACTAAGCATTTATCTGGTCTAGTGGCCTCTGCAAAACAGGAGGAGTCATATAGTCATAGAGAAGAAGGGCCACAAGGGACCTCCAGGGATCATCTAGTGCAACCCCCTGCCTGAAATAGGATCAGCCCTATTCCAACCATCCCATACAAACCATAATTGAAACTCTATATAAGACTACCCTCAACCCTGACGCAACATAGACCTAACATCCGAACCTGTCACAGGTAAGGCAGGAGAACCACAGAAGCCAATGTCCCACTTCTATAGAAAGTCAATATCCACTCAAGAGAGAGCAGATAGAGAGTAGAGCACCACTCCTCCCCCGCCCTGCCCCACCCTCTCCGCCACTACAAAGGAAGACAACCCCCCGCAGTTAATACCCAATATGACCATGGGGTAAAATTCCTTCCTGACCCCAAATATGGTGAGTGGAGGGGCAAGCCCTCCAGCCAAGAACCCAGCCATAGCTGTA